TGACCGGTTGCGCGATCGTGATCGCTGGCAGCGTTTGCGTGTCGGTGGTCAGGTTGACCGGCAAGAGATTGCTGCTGCTTATCTCCACCCCGATCTGCGTCCTCTCCCTCGCCACGATCGCGATCTTCTTCGCCCTGTTGTCGACCGGCCACGACGTCTCGATGCTGCGATGGATGCCCACAGTGTTCCTAGTGATTTACGTGCTTGGATACGGGCTCGCCCTCAACCCGATCCCCCTCGCCTATATCGGCGAGATATTTCACATGGACGTGAAGGCGCCCGCTGCCATATTCGCCTCCCTTTATTACGCCATCACCACAATACTGGTGGTGAAGTTTTATCAGGTGGGTGGCTTTAGTTTCACCTCGGTTTCTTGGAGTAGAGAAAGAATCGGGTTCGGTTTTGGCCAACCCCTTGTGGATTTTTATAATTATTTATGTATGTATGTGCATTGTTCGCTGTTGGAAAGAATTCTAAAATAGGTGGGAAATTTATAATTTGAATATATGAAAATTGTTTTCGTTTATGAAGTTAGAATAAGATTAAAATATTTAATTAGTTTGATGTAATATTAAGACAAAATTATATTTATTAAACACTTTTGTTACAAATCCTTTTTAAATAATTAGGTTTAGATGCTATCGATGATAGAAATAAAAATGCATATGGAAATGATGTTTTCTTTCTTGACATTTCTTTTCAGCAGTGAACAGTACATAACAGCAGTATTTAATTGATTTAGATTTTTTGAGGTTTTTGAAAATATAAAGAAAAATATCGTTCTTTTCCTTACCACGTATTGAAAAATCATAAGAATCCACGAGGACGCATCGATGCTTTTGATAAAAATTTTACAATAAATATGTAAATATGTATTTATGTAATTTTTATTTCAACAATTTTTCGGATGCTGTTGAATCAAAATAACAATATCACGTGACTCGTGCCGTACAATAGCGAGTAATTGACTCGATTTATTCATTCAAGGTACTGCAAGAATCGCAAGGAACGTACATGCCTGTGCTGGCGTTTACAGTGATTACTCTGCTTATATGGTTACTGATTTATCGTTACGTGCCAGAGACCGAAGGAAAGACCTTGGAAGAGATACAAATAGAATTGCGAAGAAAGAACTGACGATTTTTATTCGATATTAAATTTGTAAATTGTTCGACAATAAATGATATACGATTTCTTTTTAAATGGAAATAATTTATTTCTTTTTTTCCTCGCTTGATAAATTGTGAAAATTTTCACGCGAAGCATCTCGATTTGAATTCCATAGAAAATTATTAATAATCAAATCTAGTTGGGTATCGAATATTTAAGGAGGATGCACCAACTTTAATCAGAGGTCGAATAATCTTCGAAACTTGTGAATGAACTTGCAGTATGACCAAGTATTGTTCAGAGAACTGGTTTTCTGTTGATTAAAATTTCACCACGCAAATTTTTGAAAAATTCAAAGAAACGAGGTATTCGTTATAGGTAATTATTTTTTAAAAATACGAAATTCCAATCAGTTTTTTTTTATGCGATGATGTTTTACTTCTTCAATTTTTCAAACAAATATTTTTACCCGTAACAAAATTATGAATATACATAATTTCATTGAAAATTCTCTCTCATGAAATTCATTTTTCACTTTTTTTTAAACGTAATTCTGTAATAATACGAGATGGAAATGGAGCAAAACATTACAAATCCTCTCTAACTCGTTGTAAAAACAAAATTATATTTAAAACTTGACAAACCGAAACTTCAATTATTCACTTCTTCAAAGAGACATTCCATCCGCGAAAAATTCCATTTATCTGTTGCGCACAACAAATTTTCAAATTAGACGAATCTCCCTCCAATTATTCCAATGCAAAGAAAAACGCATACAAATTCGATTACATCGAAAACTGAAACAAGAAAGAAGATCGAATTGCCTTCTCTTGATTCTCCCGCAGGGACAAATTCTGTAATTTCGACTGTAAATTATTCGTTGGAAACTGCGTCAGAGGGGTGGCGAGGCTCGATCGCGACCAAGTTTCCCTGTCTGCAAAGAGAATCGTTGAGCAGCGATATCACGCCTTCCCTTCCTAACTATTTGAGCTTCGAGAGGCGAGGAGGGGAAGGAAAAAAGGGGGAAAAAGAGGCGCGTGCCGCGTTAACCCGTTCGAACTCCGCTCGAAAACATCGCCGCAACCATCTCCTCCATCGCCCTCTGTGTTTATTCAACTCTGTGGGCCGGCGTCGATTTGTTTGCGCTCGCCACGCCGTCATACGAAATTTCAACCGGACGTACACACACACACAAACACACACACATATACTTTTATCCGGTTTAGCGAGCTTTGATAATCCTTTTATCTCCGCTCTGCTCGTTTCATCTCGCCCCCTCCTTTCGTCCTCCCCCATTTTTTTTCCGCTCGCGCGCGAAATTAGTCCCCGGCTCGGCCGACAGAGCGCGTTGCTCAAGTGTCGCGAAACCGTTTCCGGTGGACGACCACGGAATTGGCTGTAGTTTGGAACGGTTTTTTTTTTTATAGTACTTGTTTTTGGAGCACTTGTGAATTTAGTTTGCCCTCCCCTCCGGAAG